TATTGGAATCGTGTGTGCGCTAAAATGCAAATATAAAGTAGCTTTTTAAAATCCATATTAATTTTCTTGAACAATGGCAAAACTATTCAAGAATTTTTGAAATATTTTAACATAAAATCTGTTGTGTGGAGCATCGCTAGATCGTGGGAGCAGGTGTCTCCAGATAGTTTAAAAAATGCTTGGCATAATTTATTGCCAGCTACCATATTTCATGGTGAGGATAATGAAAATGATAGCTGCAAATTTGAAGGACCTTGGATATTGCAAACTAAAGGTGAAATTTTTAAGTTAAGTTTCTGATTTTGTAAAGAAATGTAGAGAAGCAGTAATAAATGAAGATGATATAACAGATTATTTTTCATTGTGATGGCAATGCCCCAACCATCAATCAACGGACAGTGAAATCCGTAGTATGGTTCTAGATCCAGAAAATACCGCTACCAATAGTGAAAAAAGTGATAGAGAGGTTATTGAAAACAAAAAAATTCAATTGACAAGTCAGACGGAATTCTCGATACAGCAATTACAGGACTTGAATAATGGAATTTTGTAACTGAACAAGATATTATGTCTGTTTACAGAAGTAAAGAAAAAAAATTAGTACAAAAAAACGAATCAACTTAAACAACTTATATTAAAAGAAATGGTTAATAAAGCAAACAAATAAATATTAAGCCTTTTTTTGTAAATTTTGATACCCTTTAGATCATAAATGCTCTTCATTTCATAAAGTATGATTTCATATTTTTAAGTGTATAATTTCTGCAAATTCTTAGCAAGAAATGAAACATATCTAATCACTTTTCATCATCACCATCCTTCATGCAGCATATTTTTTCAGCCACATGTGTTAAGGGACTGCTTTTCCTTGTCAGCAAATTTTCGATAAAATCAACAATGGCTTTGCAGGGAACAAAACCCAAGACATTTTTACTTGCTGGACAGATATGCTGGACAGCTACACGTATAGGAGCTTTCTAATTCTTCACATTCTACTTCCCCCTCCACATAAAAGTAATCAAAAGGAGAAGGAAAAGCTTAGCCAATCAAATTTTGGTGATGAAGCATTATCTTCAATCACAATTTTTGTTTGGCATGATTTTAGAATTCTGAAGTTTTTTTCTTACAAGATAGAACCTTCAAACATCAACCATGCTTTTTCTGAAAACCAAATGCCAGATTTTCTGTTAGTGTGCCCCAAAAATTGCTTTTCATGGTACGAAAGAAAACATGCCCAAAACTTCAAATTATATTCCCCACTATTAAATTTATTCATTTCTCCTAAAGATGCATAGTCCATCTTTCTCAAATTTTTGCAGTTTCCCAGTAAAATATATTTTTACATGTACATTAATATATGAGAAATGAATTTATTTTAATGAAAGAGGTAGATAATAATAACATATAATGATATCTGAAGAATACAGAATATGAGATAGAATAGTCCAGTCATATATTAATTGTTTGTTTCTAACTGTTAAAAATACATTAAGCTTGGTGGTGTCAAGAATAGCAAACAACACCTTATCCATTCATGAATACCAATCATGTTTTGCTGATCACTTTTAGTTTGTCCAGTTGGGAATGGTATTTTTTTAATTGACTATTTAACTCTGTGGAAGAAGTACATAATAATAAATGACACCTTAATAACAATACCAAATTGACACTAAAATGTTTTTGGGTGAAGATCAGGACTGTTACCATTATAGGTTTATTATGGCTAGACACAGAAAATTTATGGTTAATTTCTCATATAGTATCAAACTTTGATCCCAATTAATTAACTTTCCAAAAATGACAATCTCACATTTTGCTCAAAAGGTAAACTGCATATGAAAACACAGATATGAAGGATGCTCTATACTAACTCATACCTCACAGTGACTGATATAGCCAAATTTATGAGATCACTGTTCTGGGAATGCTCCGAACATGCTTTAATTTACAAATGGTATATCGTAGTACATTTTTATCAACCATGATTTTAAGTAGGTCTGTATTTACAGTAGATAGGTAGCCAAAGTAATCACTTTCCAGATGAAAATTTTCAGCTTAGAATCTTCTCGACCAAGTGCCAACTGAACACTTGTAGATCAGTCTCATAAACACTGAAAAATTCAATTGCAGTAATAGCAGCACTGTTCCTCTTTTCCTAAAACAATGAAGTATTATATATTGTGCATATGCTTCTTTTGATGGTTCACAACTACAGTATGAAGAAACTTCACCGAGTCCATATATAGAGGTATGTGAAAACAGTTCAACTTCTGAATAAGACATATTTTATGATAACTAGATATAAACACAAAAGGATGATAGTATCTAAGAGATAAGGTTGCAAGTTTACATAAATACACTAAATAAAACAGCTATGAGTACATAAAAACAAAAAATTATTAACTTAAAAATTTGAGGGTAGAGTAGACTTTAAGGTACCCGTTTTATTATGGCGAAGTTGTTGTTTCATTTATGGTAGCCTGAGTAGTTGAATGTTATGGAAACCCTATTGTGACGTAATCGGTGCATGATTCTGGGAAATTTTGAATCATGGAATGTTTTGTAAGCGTTTTTGTGGTGTGTGTTGGTTTAATTCTTTAGACGGTAGAATGGCCGAATATAGTAAGATTAATTTGAAGTTTCTGTACGATTTGGAGTGAAAGGGGAAAAGAGCTTTAATTGACTAGTGTGTAAATGAAGGTTTAATTAGTAGCCATTATAAGTGTCCTGTATGTAGGAAGGATATGCGTCTAGTCGAACGTAAAAACCATTTACATGGATTTGAATGGGTTTGTAGGAAGAAAGGTTCAGATGTTCACTATGTGAAGCGTTCGATCAGAAAGAGTACCTGGTTTGAAAAAAGTCATTTGAGTATAATTGATATTTTGATTTTTACGTGGCTCTGGGTGTACGAAGTGAACTTGAAAATCATGGTAAGTGAATATTTGCTTTTGGTAGTGCTTAAATGTATAACATGTTTTTCCTTTTTTATGTTATTTTATTGTTTTGGTTTAAAATGTATTTTATTGAGATTATGTATTTTTTGTTTGCCTATATTGTAGAATTTGGTGCTCCTTTGACTTTTTAAGCGAAAATATATCGATGTGTACATAGACAAAGTAAAGAGAGTGCGCAATGCATGTTTGTGCAATTCTGAGATTTTTTTTAAAGTGAAAATAGGTTGACGTGTACATGGATAAAGTAAAAAGAGTGCACAATGCCATTTTTGTGCAATTTGGGGATTTTTTTTAGGTGAAAATATGCCGACGTGTACATGGATAAAGTCAAAGGAGTGCGCTATGCCATTTTTGTGCAATTCGGGGATTTTTTTTAAGTGAAAATAAGTCGATGCGTACATGGATACTGTTATTTTGGCTTTGTGTAGCGGCGACTTTTCGCGCAAAAATCGCCATTTCGCAAGCCAAAATAACAAGTCAAAGAATTGCACAAAAGTGGTATCCATGTACGCCAAAAATCGCCAAGGGTACGCTAAACTATACTTTTACCAAATTTGCTAGCCAGATACACATAGCACTATAAAACAAACTCACATGAAAGGAATCTTTTAAGTGCACACAGTTTTAAGGCATATAAATTTCACTGAGCTCAACTTCATACAATATCTACATTAAAACTTGCGATATTTTCCGATTATCTGCAGCCCCACCGAAAAGTTGTGAAAAATATTCAAGAGGCAATTTAATACATCTGTTTAATAAATTAAATCTTTTGAATTTATATTGCCATTTTGCTTATTAGTGTTTGTTTTTGCATTGAGCACATTTGTTTTCTTTCTAATGAATCACAACAGGAGTATAGAGATCGGCAGCTGATAAAAAATTAAATATTGTATTTCTGCATAAATATGCCATTTTGTGCAACAATGGCTAATAATTCAAAAATTCACATTCTATGAAGTCGCACTTCTTAAATGACTAAATTTTACTGAAATGCAATAAGAAAAATTGCTAGCAAAGTATTAGAATGCAGATCAGAAATTCTATCAAAGACAGCCATATCTCGTATACAAGAGCTATTCACTTTATATTCAATGTATACTACAGTACAAAGTCTCTAATCTGGACATCCATTATTCGGAATAATCTATAATCCGGACCTCAAAGCCACAAACTTACGCGCGTAAAGCCTTTAAAGCGTTTACCCATGCGCGCTTATGATAGTGAAGAAAGTAACAAAGAACGTTATTGAAAACGAAATAATTTCAATTGACAAGTTAGTCGGTATTCTCGACACAGCAATTACAGGACTTGAACATTGGAACTATGTAACTGAACAAGAAATTATGTCTGTTTATAGAATTAAAGAGAAAGTATTAGCACAAAAAACGAAGCAACTTAAACAACTTAAATTGATAAAGTAAACAAATAAATATTAAGCTTATTTTTTGGTAAATTTTGATAAAAAACGAAGCAACTTACATTGATAGAAATGTTTACTAAAGTAAACAAATAAACATTAAGCTTTTTTTTTTTTTTTGTAAATTTTGATACCCTTTAGATCATAATTGTTCTTTATTTCATAAATTATGGTTTCATATTTTTAATTGTATAATTTTTGCGTGCCATCTTACCAGATTTAAACTGATGATCTATAATCCGGAAAAAACCCTAATCTGAAATTGCCGAAGCCCGACGAGTCTGGATTACGGACTTTTTATTGTACCAAGTTTGTGTAATTTTTTTTAATTGAAAACAGATCATTACGCACATGGGGAGAACAAGAGTGCAAAATGCAATGAACAAATGATTCTGTAAAAATATTACACAAGCATTTGTTGATAAAGTGTTTTATTCTCGATGTTTCTTATTTTCGAAATTTTATTGATTTTATCGACTGATTGCTCTTTATCGAATTCTTAGCGTGCTGTCAATTTGAAAATGGCTTATGTTCGAACATTAGTTTGGTGAAAAATTAGTTGATAAAAATTATACCTAATGAAAAATATTCTGCTACATGTTAGATAAAATATTTACACATACATTTTCCAAAGATCTTTTCGCCCTCTTAATAACACGATTTTGCAAAGCTTCTCCACCTAGCGGGACAAATGTCCCAGGATCTTCTTTCTGTTCTTCAGCATTCCAGTTATCATGGTTCAACTCAGAACCAGCTTGTCTTTTCGGCATTTTACTTTATGAAAATGCTAGAAAATAGAAGATCATATCTGAATTACATAATTTAACCAATAAAAACTGTTACCTGCTATTAAAATGCCTGAGCTATTAGAAAAATTCCAGGAAAAGGCTATAAACTGAAAAATATCTGGTACTTTTTAGTTAATGTCATCATTTAATTCTTTAATTGTCAAGAACAATAAAGATAGACACATACATAACTTAACATTTTAGCATAATTATAAGAACATTTTTTTTTGTTCCAATACTTTAAGGGCTTAATTGTATTCTACACTGAAGTTAAGAAATGGGGATACTAGTCACTGGTGTACAAAATTACAGAGGTTCGTAATTTACTGAGCCCTCTCACACAAAGGCAATACTTTTCTCTAGCAAATATTTTGTTAGACGATCACAGCATTTCCAGAAATACTAATTATACAAAACTCTATTCAGCGGGGGAATTTTTTAAAAATAAATGTTAATCGTATATACAAAAGACTGAATGAGAGAAAAAAGGAAACTGATACAGTGTTAATCAAATACACAACAGATTGCATTAAAGGAAAAAGAAAGCTGTGAAATAGAGGCACAAAACAGGATGTTTTGAAAAAAAAAAAAAACTTTTAGTTAAATTTTACTAGCTAGAAATTCAAATTTTCCTCTGTGATTCAAAATTTTAATTGTAAAATATATTTATTTAGCATATTTAGATGATATTTTTGGAAAGTTAAATGAATTAAATTTAGGATTATAAGGACAAAATGTTATATTGTTTACCATTAGAAATAAGATAAATGAAATGATTAAAAAAATTCGTCCTAATAATAAAAGAATTTGATAATAATATTTTAAGCTTTTTACAACATTTGGAAAGTTTTCTAACCAAAAATAATTTGAAAATAAAAAAAGAATAAGCATCTGTTATTAAAAATCATTTTTCACTGATAAACAATTTCAAGATATAATTTCTCGAAGATTATGAAGGGGGGGGGGAAAGGATTAGAAATCCATTTGGTTAATCTTTGGATTATGGTAACTTGGCGATTTTTCGACTAAAATTTGGCGACCAACCCTGCTACGGCAACCTGCTAGTTTTGTTTTGGACGCCATTTTGTTTTCACGAAGTAAAGGCATTTTTTTTTTTTTTTACTCAACATTTTTTGCCAACAATCTGCTAGTCGAATTACGCTTATGCTAGAACTTTTATGGAACAAAACTGCTTAATCATGACGAAGATTAGGTGCGAAATTGGGGCAAAGTGCAGAATCGCCCACTGCTTGCAGCGTTTTTAAGAATTGCACATACACGTTATCATCCATGTTACACGTCGACCTATTTTCACTTTAAAAAATCCCAGAATTGCACAAAAATGGCATTGCACACACTCTTGACTTTATCCATGTACACTGCTAAAAGTCCTAGCTAGTAACCTTTATCACCTTACCAAAATGTCGCCAAACTACCTGTTACCATATTCCAAAGATTAGCCATCCATTTTGTTCAAACGTACCTCAAATTTTATCTCATAAAGAAAAAGAAGATAGAACTTTCCCATGATCGAACTCTACCTGAAGGTTTCAAAAATAGCACACTTGCTAATTTTTGACCGAAGCAAAAAATGGATTTAAAGGCATTTCAAATAAAGCTATTAAAATTTTATAGCCTTTTTACACAACCTACTTATGTGAACAAGGATCTTCCATGTTAATATTTGAAAATAAATAGAGACCAAAATTAAAAGTTCATCCTAATTTATGGTTAAAACTAAGCGAAATAAGACCAGACATAAAGAAATTGATCTCTCTTAAACAAACTCAAATTTCACACTAAATTTTAGAATTGAAGAATTCTAACTTAAATTTTGATAATTAAAATGGTAACCAATTTCTAGCCTAATATTTTTTGTGTGCCTATTTAATACAAAAAGACAACAGATTGTACAAAAGGCAATATATAAATACAAATATTTCTCTTGAGAAATTAAAAAATAATTATTGCGAAACGTAGTGGTGGTACTATCTTTTAATTTTTGCTTAATGGTACATATTAGTCAAAAGGTTGAGAATCGCTGCTCTAGATCATTGGTATCTATAATTTCCAGTTAATACACAGTTATCTTCAGTTGAAGCTATAAAATTGCTGACATTTAGACATTATAGCCAATAATAAGTTTGTCTTCTTGTACAGCATTAAAGCAAGTTACCATACTTTACTTATTATTGCCTTGATAATTATCACCACATAAATGTTTTGCTAGAAGTTGCCAACCTTGTACCTGCAACTGAAGTTCAACTCTGTATATTTATACATAAAAAGCAATATGTCAACAAAGAAACAGAAATCTGAAGAGTATTATGTGACCCGAGTAAACAAAGTTCTGCATATTCATCTTCCATACTAGCAATTACTAAAAGAAGATGGTAGTACTGGATGTATTTGAGCTACAATCTTTCTCTATTGGGCATTCAGGACCATAACTTATTTCCAGTTTCACTGCAATCTGTAAATATGAGGGTATAATTACATGGGTTAAAGTGCAGAATCACCCATTTATATGGCACGTATCGATGTGAACATGGATAAACGGAGTGCACAATGTCAAGTTTATGCAATTCTCTGATATTTTTTTAAAGTGAAAATAGGTTATTATTTACATGGATACCAAGTTTGTGCAATTTTTCGACTTGCTATTTTCAAGTTGATGCAGAATCGGCCACTTATAAGACGTGTATCTATGTGTACATGGGACAAAGTCATGGGAGTGTGCAATTCTCCAATTTTGTTTTTAATCTGAAAACAGGTCGATGTGTACATGGATACCATATTTGTGGAATTTTTTGACTTGTTATTTTCAAGTTAGCAATTTTGAGAAACGCAGAAAGCAACAAGTGATTCTGCACTTTCCCCGATTATACATACATATAAGGAAGATACATATATCATGTCACTCGAATAAAATAAGATGATTCTTAGTACATCAAAAGAATCAGAAAATGTTTGAACTCTATCAAGTTTTTAAACTTAATGATGTATTTATGCTATGATCAATTATTCATTCTCTGTTAGAGATATAACAAATACTTACTTAACTAAACAATTTTAATATTCAAGACATATACACAAGTATCATAAATTTAAGAAATGGCTTTTTTTATTTATAAAAATTCACTGAATCAAGGATGAAATACGAATAACTGCTTTAAAACTGATCTGATTAGAATTTAGAAGAATGTTAACAAAAATATACCTCCTCTTAATTCCAGTAAGCAATATATTTGACAAGGTCAACTACCTGTCTAGAAACTTGCAAAACAACCTGATTTCAATACATTTTATTGGGAAAATAAGTACGTGTGAATATATTCAATATATATTCACAGCGATATTATATTCATATTTCAGTCTGGCATTTCCCAAGACATTTTACTTAATACATCAAAATTCCATTAATTTCTTTTTTATATGAAAACATACTGAGAAATAAAACTGAATTTTATAAAGTGAGAAATTGAAAGTAGGCATTTTATATAATATAATTATATAAAATATAATCTAATATTTCTTACAATAAAGTTCTGAAAGATAATGTCAAATAAATTCTTTACAATGATTAAGACCCTAAACTGTTTTAATATTAGCATGTCTAAAAATGAATTCCTGTTTACGAAATAACATAATCCTATTTTTAATTTTACCGTTAAATCTGCAAAACAGTTAATTATTCTTATGCGAGACCTATCGTAGCATTTTAAAAATTAGCGCTAAATTTCTTACACACTTAGTGAAAGTAATTATTCATTGCCTTTCTATCCAATCCTTACCACTATTTTAAAATTTTAGAATCTTAATGGAATTTAGAAGACACGGCATAAATTCAGCAAATTTTTTATATACAAAATACTTACTATTTGTTGCGGTAGATTAGTAGGCTTAGCAACTGCGAACAACACACATACCTCTTCTATTGAACAAAATGCATAAAAGAAATTATTTTCAAAAAATCATATTATTTCAAACACGCAAGATGTGATACAAATAAGTAAAAATACTATATAAAGTAAAACTCACAACAGAAATGTCAAAGTAATTTCTGATAATATACTATTATTTTTCCACAATTAGGAAATTACACTAATTCGAAAAATCTAGCTATACAAGTAGTAGCAAGATCTTACTGAACCATAAAATAAAGGGGACTACGTGTGACAAAACTGTTACCTTAAATTATAGTCTATCAAAATTAACAGTTTCGCAGTAGCTTATTATCCGCTCACACCGCTTACATAAAGTATCTGTTCACACCGGTCATAGATTCACATGCACGGCGGTATTTTTCTATGGTTGCTATAAATTATAGGAGCGTTGGCGAAAAGTTTGTACCAAACTATTTCCATAAACAAATACTGAATCTGAAAGAATTTTCAGTATGAAGTTAAAAGAAATTTTTGTATTAAATGCGCGTGACACTGATTTAACATTGCATTATAGTTCGTTTTTTAACCAGATCCACCTTTTTAATAAATGAGGGTCTTTCATATTACAGTTCTAAAAACAAAACAGAAAATTCAAAAGAACAAAAAAGTGAGTTTTTCTCTTGTTTAAGCAGCTGGTTTAGGGCATTGCAAAATTTATTTCAGTGTCCTTTTACCCTATTTCATGAAACACAAGACACTTAAAAATGAAGGAAGGTAAAATCGCTCTTTCATAAGTATGCAATTTATTGCAATTTGCAGTCAAAGTATGTGAGAAACTGTTCATTCAAAACTCCTATAACAATTTTATTAAAGAAAACAAATACGTTATTTAATTTATGATAAAATTTTAAAATTGTATATTTCAATTTTTCTTGTTCCGTAAAATATGAAAAGTCGCCAAATACTGCACGCTACTCATTCTCGTGTCTTCAGAGTACTTTTGCTAACGGGAACGAATTGAAGTCGCCCCAGTCATCTGGGATGAGGGGAAGTTGTTTTGGATGGTGGCGAGTGCGCAATAAAATGTAGTTCTTTGAGATTTCGCTTTAAACTTGTTATTATATCTTCATATATTTGTAAGCGATGATCAGGAAAACTGAAGTTGTTATTAATGATTATTATGTTTATTGAAATGTATCATAAATAACAGGCATTCCTTCTCTAAGGTGCTTGTCTTCTTTGCTTCGGACTGTTGACTGTTTGTACTTTCTTGGTTACTTCAGTTCGACCGCTAATTCACTATCGGTGACGATAAATTGATTTGTTGCAGATCTTAACGGAGAATTTGAAACCATACAAAATGGATCTGCAGACAATTTCATCGCAAATGAAAGTAGTGATTCAAAAACATCAGGTAAGTGAGAAAATTTTTGTCGCGATTTAGTTTTAGCGGTGAGACTTACATCATCTCTGAAGCTATAACAAAAAATGAGCACCGAAAAGTAACTACATGTACTTACTGGTAGAGTTACTTTTGCGTATGTCTGTAATTTTTGACGTTAGATATGAGTCTATAAAAATTAATAAAACTTTTGTCTTTTAGTCTTTTTTTTTTCTTTTTTTCTTTAATTTTCAGAGCCTGTTCTAAGCACTCATTGAATATTCAGAGATAACCTCTTGTTAACTAACTTACGTGCGCGCTGTATATATGAGTAATTTAGAGTTGCGTCACTCCTAATTTAAAAAAATTGTATACAGTTATGAAAAACTTATTTAACTTTTCTGTATGTTTAGATAAGTAAGTTTCTTTTTTTTTTTTTTTTCAGCTTGTTGTTACAGAAATGCGTAACGATCCTCAGGTAGGTCCTTGTATCATTTATCGATCGCTTTCTTTTGTCCCTTTACAAGTTTTAAAGCTTTTATGTCTGTTTTGCTGAATTTTAAGTTCAAAATTAACAAAACATTTTAATAGCAAAACTTGGATTTTTAGCTTTTTTTTAATCTTTCCTTGAGATATTTACATATGAAACTTAAGATAGATTTTTTTTTTTTTTTTTTTTCCCTTGGTAGAATCCTGTCCTTCAAAAAAGATTAAATGACTTACAGTTGGAAATACATAGTTTAAATGAGAGGCAGGTGAGTAAACAAAATTGCAGAAAATCAAAAACAGGTTATATTTTTTATTTTTTTCATGAACAAAATTTTGAACTGTTGTAAAAAATACAATGACAAGTTCAAAGTATTTTAATATTTAAATAAGTTATTATTATTATTATTATTGTAAATTAATGATTTTTCATGAAGCATTAATTTTTGTTTGGAAATAAACTAACAGTTAATTAAAAATTAATTTAGTTAAGTTATTATATATAGGTGGTAAATATTTTGCAGTTTGAATAAATTTAAAGATGAGACTGAGGTAGTAGCGATTTTTCAGAATTTTAAATATTTCGCTTCTGGAAAGTTTCTTGTCAGAACATATATTCTTTTAAAATTATGTTTTTATTACAATTATTCATATGATATACATGCTAAAAAATAGTGATATGTTGCAGTGACCATCTTTATGAAAGACATATGATCGTCAAAATTAAATGAATGACTGTCAAATTGTTAAGCTTAAATGAGTGGTAAAGTAATAATTGTCATTGCGTAAAATGTACTTGATATTTACATAACTAAATATTTCAAGTTATTATAGCTTTTATGCTAATGCTAAGTGGAAAACTTGTAATAATTCGGTTTAATTTTGAAAAAATTGATGGTTGTTATATCCATCTCTTTTCAAAATTGAATGAGCTTATAGCACAAAGTTTCCCCAAACGTTTCAACCTTGCAACCAATGCAATTGCAACATATTGTAACTAATACAGATAGAGTTACTGTAAAAGGGGAAAAGGAGACAATGGGGACAAACAGTGTAATAATAAAGGTTAGGTTAGGTTATTTAATTATGGCAAAGCCTCGAGGGCTTTCTGCCTAATGGGAGCAATGCCTTTGTGGAGGACTTTCTAAGAGAAACTGCCTCGTATACACATTACACATGGGGAAAACCACGAAAACACCCATGCAGCCAGCCCATTTGCGAGATTCGAACCTAACTACCAGTGTTCAGTGACTTTACTGCTCAGCCGCTGGTGGGCTGTAATAATAAAGGAATAATTAATAAACATGCATAATTGTTAACAGTAAATTAATTCATTCTTTCGGATAACTATAGATAATAGTGCTGTAAGAGGCACAGTACTTCAAAATTTTTCATGACTAAATAAAAACTATCCCACCCGCACTTTGGGAACTATCGTTATGTTATACCATGAGTGTTGTGCTGTAATATTCATACTAGTTATTAATTCTTACTCTAAATATAGAAATGCCACGAGACTGGTTTTCTGGATATGAATTGTGATTTTGATTTTTATATAAACATTTATTATTATGATTTTTATATAAACATTACATATTGATATGTATAAATAACTGAAATAGCTATCATTGTTACCATTTGGCAAAAACAAAAAATCTTTGGTAATTGCTAAATACATTGAATAATGAAAAATAATATGTGCATTTCTTACAAATTTAAATCTTTATTTGAATTTTTGATGATGTGCATAAAAGATATAAATTAAAAACATGTTTAATTTATAATAAATCCAGCTGATAATATTTATGAATATCTGCAGTACTGTAGTAATTAATGAAAGCTATTTCACCATATGTGGTAGAAAGTTATTTTCAGTAACTACCTCGTTGCCATAAAGGAATACTAAAATATGATTAGAAAGCATGGAGCAGTGAAAATTAGTATTACAGTTTAAAAGGTACAATAAAGATAGTATGTGGGTAGCAACAATTCATCAATTTCAGCTGCCATCATTTTATTTATTTATTTTTTCTTTCCTTCTTTGATGAAAAAGTCTGCCATGATTTTAAGGGTAAAAGTGTATGTTAGGGTACCCCATGGCGATGCATGGATACCGAATTTGTGCAAGTCTTGTTATTTTGGCTTGCGTAGCGGTAATTTTTGTTGAAAAAATGCAAAAAGCCAAAATAACAAGACAAAAAATTGTAGAAACTCAGTATCCATGTACACATCGACCTATTTTCACTTAAAAAAAATCCCAGAATTGTAAAAAAATGGCATTGCGCACTCCCTTGACTTTATCCATGTACACATCGACCTATTTTCACTTGGAAAAAAATCAGACAATTGCACAAACTAGGCTTTCCGCACTCCCTTGAGTATGTTCATGTACACATCTATATTTTCACTTAAAAAGTCAAAGGAGCACCCAATTCTATAGTAGAGGCAAACAAAAAAATACATAATGTCAATAAACTACATTTTAAACCAAACAATAAAATAACATAAAAAAAGGAAAAACCTGTTATGCATTTAAGCATTACACAAAGCAAATATCCACTTACCCTCTGTGGCATACAAAATTCCTTAAAAGCACCCAAAAACTTCCTCAAATTATCTGAACTAGGATCCGTATATTGGCGTTGCCACATAAATTCACAAAAATAAGAGTAAAAAATATCCTACGTTTTTACATCATTCTGGATGTCCGGAAAATGGCTACCAATTAAACCTTCATTTTATACACCAGTCAATTAATGCTCTATTCCCCTTTCGTTCCAAATTGTACAGATACTTCAAATTAATCTTACTATATTCAGCCATTCTACCATCTAAACAATGAAACAAGCAATGTACTTCCTAACCACATGCACCACAAAAATCCTTTCAAAACATCCCATGATTCAAAATTTCCTATAATAATGCAGATGGTTATGTCATAATAGGATTTCCACAATATTCAACTATTCAAGTTACCATAAATGAAACAACAACTTAGCGATAAACGAAACAACAACTTGGCGATAAATGAAGCAGCAACTTGCGATAATACAAGGGGTACCCTAAAGTCGACTCTAACCGATTTTTAAGTATTTATGTGTAGAGATTGTATTTAAAGAAACGTTGAAATAACAGTTTCCCATTTGATATAGACACCTGTTTCGATCTATTGCAAGGAAAAATGCAAAGCATTTCATTCAGATTTTTTATTGTCATACCTATTTGACAAAATAATGTGTAGGGATGTGTTAAAATTAGCTATTATAAAGTATTCTGAAGCATTCTAATAAATTTGTCCTAAAAGCGAGTAAACAGAAGTAAAATAAAATATAAACTTATTTAATCTCAACCACAATCCTTATGTCAAAAGTATAATATATTTCTACAAAATTTCATATGCAGCTCAGATCTCTGTTTTCAATAATGTAGGTTTGTAATGTTCAGTTTTAAGTCATTTTTTTTAAAAATGATGCAAGTATCTCCCACTTAATAAAAATTTTCTTAATGTCACTTTGCTTTTACAATCAAGAAAAGATCTGTATTAGTAACCCCCTTCCGGAAAAGAAATTTGAGTTCCCCCCCCCTCCTCTGAAAAAGGATAAAATGTAAAAACATTGCTCAATATTTTTTTTTCTATGATGACTGAAGAAAAATCTGACTTTTATTTGAAAAAGCAAGTTCATTTAGGGCAATTTTTCTGGAGGTTTTGATTGTTTATGATGAACTGTTCTATTAAAAGTATAATATAGGTATAAGCTAAGGAGGTTAGAAAAGTAAGCTTGAACTTTCGATTATGTCAAATAGAATTTCTGATATATATTTACTAATATGTAAAGGATCTACAAAGCGAAAGTATGTTTCGAAGTCCATTAAACAAAAAATGGAATTGCTGCAAAAAAATAGATAAAGGCAGATCCTTTATAGATAAAGGCATTCCGAAATCTGTTTACCAATTTCACGCTGCTCTGCATGTGTGTGTGTGTGGGGGGGGAAACGTGCAGTGCGCAATGAATGGAAGTTGATCTGTCAGCACTATCCTTATTTTCAGGGCAGATGTTTTTATTTTATTTGGCTTATAATTCCTTACTAATGAAGTATTTCATCTCGATGTACACCGTCTTCAAATTGATTTAATCAAATTCCTCGTCATTTATAATTCGCTCCGATAGCGAAGAAAGTGATCCAGAAGGTTATTGAAATCGAAAAAATTTCGATGACAAATTAGTCGGTATTTTCGACACAGCAATTATAGGACTTGAACAGCGGAATTGTAATAAAAAGAAAGATGTCTGTTTATAGAATAAAAGAGAAAGTATTATCACATAAAAAACGAAGCAACTTAAAATTAACATTGAAAGAAACTTTAATAAAGTAACAAATAAATATAAGCTTTTTTTGTTAAATTTGATACCCTTTAGATCATAATGTTCATTTCATAAATTACAGTTTCAATTTAACTTTATAATTTCTGAATGCCATCTTACCAGATTTAAACTGATGATCTATAATCCTGAATCGCCGAAGTCTCGGCGAGTCCAGATTAATGACTTTTGACTGTACTTACTTTTCAGGTTTTTTAGTCCAAAAGGATCTATCATGTAAATTTAAATTAATTAACTTATCTTGCCAGACTTCTTCTTTGTGGGTTTTCACAAGTTTTTATATTTCTTTTCATTTCAGCCGATTCAGCCGATTTCTTTCTATTTCAGCCGATTGATTTCTCTCTTTAATGCCGTATCTCAAGTGAGATGAAATCTTTTCCTTAGTCAATTTCTGTGTTTCATTTTACCTTTGTACGTATTTTCATTATTGATGATGTCTGAGCTGACTTCTGAAATGGAGTTTTGGATACAGTTTATGAGTCTATTTACAGCATAATTGATTCCAGATGGGAAGCATGGATTGGCGAAATTAATAATTCTGTCGCTCATCAAATTTTGGAAGAGTAGCCAATCTGTATGTTTTATGATGCTGTTTTTGTCTGGTTTAGGAATTCTCATGACTGCAATAATCGGGAGATGATTAGACGACATCTTCTAGAGTTATAGGGATGGTAATGGTTGAGAGAATTAAGTATTGGATATCTGATCTTTCCAAGTTTTCCGGCTTGTATGTATACTCGAATGCAAAACGACAAGGTAGTTGAGAACATAATTGTAGAGGATATTTATGTTGACATAGTTGCATTTACAGTTCCATACAATGTGTTATGAGTTATTATCACCAGCTACTATTGTGGAGATATTGGATGGTAGTAGAGCGTTGAGAAAATCACCACTGA